AAAAAAAAAAAGCAGCTTTATATCCACAAAGGAAAAATGCTAAACCAAAAAATTTTCATCCTAGGTGTGCATGAAGTAGCTGAGAAGTGTTGTAGAAATGTGTCTCAAGAAGGCATTTGCGTGGCACGTTTAAATGGCCCTACAAAAGGCATGTCTAGTTAATAAATACAGTGATTCTCTCTAACTAGGAAAAAGCTAATAATATATTAATAAATAAAATTGGATTCATATATGGCAAAATATTTTCTAAAACATACAATTATTTGTACAGAAGACACAGCACACACTTTAATAAGTCATGTGCCAGTGTCAGCATTGGACTTGGGATGAAAGCAGCTTTCCTATGCCACAGAAATTTTTTTTTTTTTTTTCTTTTTCTGAGTCAGGATAGATCCAAGACCTTTAACAAACTGTTCACAAAACAAGGGGCAGACAGGCCCACTCCTGAATGCTTTTGCTGCTCTTGGAGATGGAAGCACTCTTCCAGGCAGTTAGGAAGCTCAGCTTCAAACCCCTGCAAATCAGGCAGAGCAGAAATTTGAACCTACCCCTCCCACTAAACTCTTGGCTATTTCCAAAAGCAGCCAAATTTTCTAGCTTTGCCAGTAACTTTCAAACTTCTTTTGATTTACAGGCCCCTGGGTATTTTCTCTAACTCCTCTATAGGTGGAGGAGCCTGCCAAAAAATAACTAGTTAAGCAAATTGGCATTTTCTGAATCAACACAGAATAAAAAGAAGAGCTCCCAACTGTCTTTCACAACCACTATGAGTTTGCCACTCATCTGGAGTGCCAATGCATGTGCTAAAGCAGTGGGCTACCCCTCACTGCCCCCTGCGTATTGTTCCCTGTGACCATATCATGCTGTCTGCACATTGTTAGTGTGCTGCTGCAGGGTGCCTCTGGCCATCATCCAGTGCGATGCCACTCACTCCCGTGAGGCAAATGAGAAATAGCGAATGAGGTGCAAAGCTCTGCTTTTCTCTCCTCTTCCCCCTTTCCTGCGGGATTCACATACCATAAGGCAGTGCAAAGACGTATGAACTGAGAAAGAGAAAAAGTTGGCTAAGAGAGTGGAGAGGGTGGTGGTCTTACGTCATGATGGCTTGGTCCCACCAGAAGAGGAGAGCCCCCATTTCTCCATGCTTTCATCCTCTGCTTCTGGACACATGCACTTGCACTGGCTCTGGAGTCTGTGTGGCCCTTGGTAGCTGGTTCGGAGGAAAACTTAGGCTGGGTGAGAGATGCCCAGAGGGTGCTTTGCCGAATCACACTCAACTTCTTCTCTAGAGTCTCCCGTAAAGGGCTGCCCAGCTCCCTTAGGTGGTCGTTTCCCTGCTTGCCCTTGCTACGTAATTCCCAGGATAAAGTTACATCTCTCAAGGAAAACTGAGCCAATCGCCCTTGGTGCTACCCACGATGGGCATGGAGAACTCGCCCATCACAGTCATCACTGTATCAACTTCTCAAGCCTTTGAAACCTCTCTCATTTTCCTTTTCTCTCTAGACACAACAATGCTTTCAGTCTTGATTTTTATGCCTGTCTTTGGACTGCTTTCCTGTTCATACTTCCTTGCTGTTTGTCCTGTCCTTTTCTGGACATGCTCCAAATTATCTGCACCTGTCAAAATGGGGTGCCCTAAATCAGAGACAGAGTGCCAGCCAAAAACATCATCAATTCAAGTGGAGCAGCATAGTTACTTCCCAGGTCTTTCTTACACACAATATGCCCGTTAATACCATCCCAGAATGCCACATGCTTTTTCTATTAAAGCAGCACCATACTGCTGACTTGTACTTATTTAACATTCACTCTGAGAACAAAAAGCCCCAAACTAAGGAAATAAGTATATAAAATAACCCCCACTTAAAAACTGTTCACTTCAACAAAGGATTATTTCACCAGGTCACTCCTACTAAATCCCTCTTAGGACAGCAATAATACAGCTGGAACAACCAGCTTAAGGTTGTTAAAAGTGTTTAAATTAATTAAAAGACTAGCAAGGACATTTCATGTGTCTCAAAGGAATTTTGTAGCCCACTGGATGTCGGATGAAAACCAGGACTTACATCCACTTCGCATAGTAGACAAATCCACTGTGAAAGGCTAAAGCCTAAAAGTGAGGACAAAGTGCAAGTTTTCCATCATTGCTGTCTTGCATGGGCATTTTGGTTTTATTCAAAAGACAAACTATTGACCACCTATGGAAAATAAACTTTTTTTTAATAATTCTAAAAGCATCTTAACAGACAGATTTCTGACTAAAAGACAGTTACAGGGATTATATATGAAAACTGTGTGTACCAAAGTAATTTTTCTCGTTAAATGAATCACTTGTGGTTATACAACAAGACCTCTGCTATCAACCAAGCGGGTTGTAGAGCTGAAGAATACCTTTGTGAACAGTGGAAAATCTCAGTGCCAGTGAGTGAGAGGAACTGGAACATCAAATAAATATTTTCTGTCTCCTTTCTCTGAAAAATGGTAACTGAGAGGGAAGGGTTATTTTGGTAGTAGGACAGCCAGGTATGAATGGCATCTCCTGGGGGTGCACTGGGGGCCTGAGGGAGGACATGCAGCTTCCAGTGAGCTGTCATTTGGCAGCAGCAGACAAAAATGGATGTCTGCCTTTTAAATAAATAGGTAAAGAATGTTTTCATGCATGCTGTATGTAGCTCAATGTGCATTTAAAGAATTTAATGTGTATTTGTGGCAACTTATACTATAAATACACAGCAATAAAACTTTGACACCACACTACCATATCAGATACTCAGCACAGCTTCTGACAAATATGTACATTGAAGGTACTAGAACCACTTTCCTGGGACAAGAGGAAACTTCATACCATACACCCAGCAGGTTGTGCCTTTAGGGAAAAACAAAAAATCAGTAGTTTGGTGGTTTTTTCTGTTTAAAAGTCTATTTATCTTTCTCTGCTGTGCCCTCCCCTCCCCGCCCCCCCCGCTTTCTCCCCCATCTACCCATGAAACTATGTGCTTAATTAATAGGAATTTAACCAACTAGTCAGCTATAGTTGTTGCTATAGTTTTCTCCCATTACACCTCATTGACTGTTTTTGCTGTGTTGTTCCCCAGCATTGTTTAGGCCTTCTGTCCTAGGTATTACAACTTAAAACTATCATTTGCTTGCACAGGGAATATTACAAAATTTTAGTGGGGAAATTTCACCCCAACAAATTATCTTCTGAAGTTGCCACAAATCTGCCAACAAGTCGAGGTGTTAGCATCCCAAGAGCCTCACATTGTCTGTTTAACATCGGAGCCCAGAAGGTCTTCTGCTGTGCTCCCAGCCTCCCCACAGTGAGGAACATCCCTCTTGGAGGCAGCTCCCCACCGCAAAACAGTCAGTGCCACCAAGCTGTCTGCCCTGTGCTGAAAATCCTCCGTGCTCAGACAGTTATCATCATAAAAGCCCTTGAAACTGAAGCTGCTTAATACAATTCAAACTCTTTGACAAAAAAAAGAGAGAAGAAAAAAAAAGCTTCTCCAGCAAGCTAACGCTTTACTAACTCTTGGTTAAGCTTTTTTTGAAGTTCCTTCATCGTCTTGAATCACAGCTAACTTAAGTCCTCTGTATGTTTACCACCACATTTTTCAGCTTACAAAGAGAAGCACAACACACTGCAATTGCACTGAAGTAAATAAGAAATGACAATATATAAAATACAGTAACAACTTGAAGAGAACATGAAGGCAATTCATCAATTGCTTAATGAGTTCAAGGAGGACACTTTTGACATCCTCAAGCGCACATAACAATAGACTTCAATATCTTTTGTACTCTAATGGGAATTACCAAAAAATGTGTTGCATTATAAAATATAAAAGGAAAGCTCACCCATTATAAAGTAACACAGATCATTCTACAGGCAGACCTCATTACAGTATTTTTTACAGCGTACTAACAAGAAAATTTCTGTGCTCATTACTGCAGGGGTACTTCTTCACTATCAAAAAAAATGAAGTATGCGCATTTGTATATAATTACATTCAGTATTGTTAAATAATCCTTTGCTCACGGGCAGGCTTTTGAGCTTCGGAATCAGCAACGACCAAAGGTGAGGCACTGTGACTGGTCAGTGATGGACTCTCTTTTCTCCTCAGCACACGGCTGTATTGCCATTTGCTGTCCTGGAAATGCTTGCTACGCCACACCGTTACCCAGCAAAAAAGAACGGATTGATCCTATTAGGATTTGTCGCTCTTCTGTATATCAGTTGGTAAGAATTACATACTTTAAAACATTTTCTTCAAGTGATCTACTTTGTAAAACAAGGCCAAACGCTGTACTTAGATTCAGGTTCCCTCCCAGGCACATGGGCAACAGCAGTCTGTTCTGTGGAGAAGTCATTTAAACTTCAGCTGAGACCCATGAAATCTATTTCCAGGCACAGGCAGAGCAGGTTTCTTCAAACACAGCACAGGTCCTGAGACCATACATAGTATCTCCTGCTCTTCTAAGGCCTCTTATAGAAAAGCAATGAGAGTGCCATAAACTCTGGGGTCCTTTGAGGTATTTCTGATGCGCTGGAATTTTTATTTCCACCAGTACCATCAAATTTATCTCTGCTCGCTGTCTTGCTCACTGCACAAACACCAAATCTCAAAGGTCTGGGGGTCACAGGAGCAGGAGAGGAGTAAAACTCAGTTTGGTATTTGGCAGGGACACATGGCTGGGTTTAGAAACTTGAGATAGAAAATGATACTCAGAGCCAGGTGCAAACTTGATGGGGAGCAAGGAGGCATCTGCCCCACTACCACCTCCCACTCCACCGGTGGACACCGCCTACATTTCCAGCAATGTGCCACAGTTATCTCCAACCTGTTGGAGGGTAATCCTGAGAGAATAAACTACATCTAACCAGCCCCCCCAGCCCATACCCGTCCACCCACCTCCTCTGTGTGTGTCATGCACCCCTGGAGCTGGGTTTGCATCCGCTCCTGCTCATTGCACCTCGGCTGCAGTGCCGGGGTCTGGAGGCACTGCCCGCTCCATCTAGCTATGGGCAGCTGCCAACACTTCAAACCACTCTGAGGATGTGTTATGTTGAGACTCAGCTCAGGAATGGGTCCGTATAGTTTCAGGGTATGCTGCGATATCACTTTCTAGAGCTGAGGAAACAGCCGGGCCCTAGGGTGGAGGATACAGAACAAGTGGTCAGCAGGGAGCTGACTTGTCCTCATGCAAAGATTTCTGAGAAGTCACTGGGACTGGGACTCCCATCCTTCCCATTCCCACCCACCAGCTCTCACTCTCAGCTAGAGGCTACCTTCAGCCCACCGAATGAAAATCTGGAATAGAAAATAAACTGCACAGATGAAATACTCTTGTCACTTGAAACCCATCAGAGTGGCTGTGGAAGCAATGGACTTCACTGCTTCATTACATAACCAAATTAGGAGCCATTTATCCTAATCCAGCCCAGTGCCTAATAGGATTACAACCACAGCTTCCTAAATTCCTTTTCTATGATCTGGCTCATGCAGTTGCTTAACGCCAGCTTTGTTTTGCTTGTCTTCTGACAGCATTTGGTTTTTACTGTCTTTGAGACCAGATGGCTTTCCAGGCAACTATTGCAGTCATGTGTGCCATGCTTTCCCCTAAAGCCTCTATCAGCTGAGCAATTTCACCCCACAGGAGACATGGCTCATGCCAGGACCCGAATCCTCATCAGAGGATGAGGATCAACACAAGCATCAACACATCTGAGCCCTCCCAGTATCTTCTCTGAATTGATGTTGCATGGTGCTGCAGGGGTCCTGAGTGGAAGGTGGTCCCTTAGAGCATGTGTCCCCTGTGTCCCAGGGCCCTGATAACCGGATAAAAGATATTAGGATTTCAATACATTGCTTTCTCTCCTCCTGAGACAGCAAGGAACCTGCTGTCTGCTTTCTTTTTGCCTCCTTGTCTCAGTTGCCTGCAACCACAGCCAACAGCTTTCAACTAACAGAAAATTTTTTTAGCCTGTGCACTGAAACCTTAACACGTGTACACATTTTACTGTTGGTGCTGCAACCTGGTGATTTAATAGCCCCATTTGGGCATCTTATGTTTCACAAGCAACAGAGTCCTTCCTAAAAGCCTCTCCTTGAACTGTCACTGTCATCGCTGCGCTTCCCCTTCCCCAGTGTCGATGGGCTGAGAACTGACCGGTCCCTGCAAGGCAATAGAGAAACCGAGCAGCCGGTGACGCCTTGCGCCAGGTACCTGCCTCTGAGTGGGGCTTCAGTATAGCTTTGAATACCCATAGCGTTCAAAAAGGAAAGGTGGCTTTCAGCTGTGGGACACGAGGGCTAAGAGAACCATTAGGCATGTTAGTTAATTCATGCAAGGATGTATCTTGCATCTCCCGGTTGCATTAAGTAATGCCTTACTCCTGGGGTCATCACACCGAAAACAGTAAAGAATATATAAATTTTAGAACTGGCATTTTAAATCTTAAAAAGGAAGTAAGAATAGATTGCCCCTTCCCATTTCAGTGGTAATAGATCAGCATAAAATAAACCTTAATCTTCACAATTTTGCATGTGTCTTTGGAGAAAAGTTCAAACTACCTTTGCAAAGGAACATAAATCATTGTAGATTGCACTCTGTACACAAAACTAAAATACAGAAAACCCCAAACCAAATTAAATCTAGAGAAGGATGGTTTTCTTGTATTATGTCCATATTCTGCCTCTGTTAGGAATCAAAATATTTTCCCTTCACTGCATGCTCATTTTCAGTTCACAACCTTTTAATTTTGAATTAACCACAGTCTCAGAGAGCTCATATGTGGCCAATATGTTCTTTTCTCCTTTCCGGATCTTCCATTTAATAATTCCCTAGAGACACTTCTTTTTCCCTTCAGTGAATGTGGTGCTCCTACTAACATTAATGGACGGGTAACGAAAGGAACAGGATCAATCCCCCAGTTGCATCCAGTTGTACTATGACAGCACATCACCTCTCCCTGGTATCTATGTGCTGTCCTCTATCCTATAGCAGTTTGGCAACTTTGGTTGTACTCAGGGGTCTTATCTTAATCTATCCTCCCTGTAATTCTGGGCATTGTCTGCTTCTGACTCACTCACTGATATCCAAGGTAAAATCTTTGTAAAAATTGAAATTTGGTGAAATTAAATCTTCAGAATAATAAGCCTCCAAATCTTGCCAGTATATTTAACAGGTGATTACCCATGAGAAACGAGCAATATGTATTTGCAAGTTGTTGGGTGCATTTTATGAAATCCCCAGAAAAAAAACCAAAAACCGAAAACTGTCAGACATTTTGTGATCAAAATGAGTAAGTTCAGGAATCTGGAGCTATGCCCCACAAGAAAAAACATGGCAACACAGCTCCCACCAAGTCAGAAAGCTGAAAGTGCTTTAGTGCTCCTCCATGGTCATTTGTTTAGGTTTGAAAATACAGGTTGGACTGCTTCATATGAGGCACACCAGCTGGCCAAAATGCATCAAGATAATCTAGTTCCTCATTACAGAAAATAAAGGCAGTTGTCACTCTCTGTTTTACTGTTTGAGACATATTAAGAAAATAGCAGTCCTGTGCAGTGAAGAACACATGGTGACATTTGCAAGGGCTCCAGTTAGCACCCGGTCTTCAGTATTTCTGCTCAGGTTCTCTGTGGCCTTTTGTGCAGGCTTTTTTTTTTTTTTTTTTTTAAATTACTTAGCTGTTTCACAGCCCTATTTGTTTGATGAAAGAACCCTAACTCATGAAAATGAGTCTCTACACTTAACATTTCCATGCTCAGCCCAGACAGCTTCACTACCAATCCCCTCCATTTTTCCACTCTACCCCTTAGGTGTGGATTAGTGAATCTCTCTTTACAGGCAAGGTAAAAACCCACCTTTTTCATGCCCTACCCCTTCCTTCTCTAAGTAGAGAAAGGAGAAATCACCTTTTCAGACTTTTTTTTTTTCCTTAGCACTCTCCCATTCCTCAGTTTCGTGACACAGTTTCAGGCAGGTGGGGCAGCCTGTTTGTCACTTCTCTTTGAGGCGCGATGCTCAGTGTAAGGTGGCAGGCTGGATGCCATCAGATTGCATTCCCATGTTAGTACTGGTGGTGGAAAGTATGGCATACTCCTCAGATGTGATTTTTTTAAATCAAGAATTAAACCTTTTAAGGACTCTTTGGACCCAAAGGTTCTTTTTAGGGAAGTGTTGTCCATCATTAGAATGGCACATCCTCATAACAGTCACTGGAGACCTGCCCCTTTTTTATATTCTTTACATAGTCAATGCAAATATATATAGTTTTATACTTCCCCTCCCCCCCCCATATTTAATATATAAAGACCATTTTTATATTCTTAAGTCCAGGCATTTGCTACCAGCCACTCTTGGGAGCCATAAACAATGAAAATAATATCAGTGAACTGACAGTCACTACAAGATGTTTTCTGAGAGAAGAAAAAGGCTGAAAGAGAGGGCCTCAGTAGAAGAAACAAAGCCCTATAAAGGAGGCATATTCATCCTCTTCCTTTTCCTTCTTTCCCTTTTCCAAACAGTGCTTTGCAAATGGTTCTGGCACAAAAGAGCAAAGCAGCTATATCTGTTTCCTACCTACTTGCTCCTCCTCTTAGACCAAGAGAAAAGACTGAGCGCTGGAGAATTCCCCTTGCCCTCTCACCTCCTCAAGATTTCTTTCCACTCCCCAGAACAATGGCAGGATAGAGACAGTGAGAAACAGCACTTTGTCTCCACAGACTCTCGAGATCTGGATAGGGGCTGAAAAGCTGTTTCAACTAAAGAGCAAACACATATGTGAGAGCTTATTTGAATAAGCTTCACTTAGAATAGCCAAGCGTACATCCCTATTTCTGAGCATTTTGCTATTTGACTGTTATTTTACTTCCATTAATAGCCAATGCCACCAGGGTGACAGCAGAACATTGTGTGCATTTCAACGTGTGCTGAAACCCATCTAATTTAGCAGCAGCTCAAGTGTGCTTCACAGCAAATAGCCCAAATACTGAGGAGATGTATCGACAGCTGAGCTAATTTTCTCTGTGTCAAGATTGTTTTGATAACTTGGCCCTTCAGGAGTTAGAAATCATGAAGTGGTTCTTCTAACTGAATGGTTCTAACCAAAGATCATTTCTCTCCTTGCCTAGGGTCCTGTGGATTTATTCTGTAACAGGAGAGTGGGTATATCCTCTCTTTGCTTTGTTCAGCCCAGCTGGGCTAGCAGCCTTTTTCGCCGGTTGCTTTGCCATCATCGCCTCTTTCTACAGCTTTGGGGAGTTCCTCAACCGTATGATATGGGGTCAGTCCAAGTTTTGTGTTTCACTTCTATCCATATGAAAAAAAAAACATTATCTAAAATTAATTCCTGTGATTGCCTAGGCAGGTGGGGAGAGGAAGAGGGGCCCTTGTACACTGGGGGGTGGCATTTGGGTGCCTGATAGAGATTGCCAGGTCCTAACCAGTTACTAACAAACAGAGAACAAATTGGAGCAAGAATCCAAACACCACCAGATAAAAGGCTTGGCCAAATTTCTCTAACGTGGCTCGAGAAGCACCTCTTACCAGCATACAATCACTGGATTTTGAGTTCCTTCTCAAACAAGGGTCCAGAGAAGCCAAATCTCTCTGGCTAAAACTCTTACACCTGCATCATGTGGTGCTTCTCAGAATAGGGAATGGCACTGTTTACTGACAATTTATAGGAAGGCATTAGTGTATCCAAGTGAAAGCATCGCACCAGCTCCATGAAGCAGCACTTCAGAAAGTTTTACAAACTGTTGAGAACATCTCTCTTCTGCTTAGGTAGTGGTATAGTCAGTAGTGATTTAAAGAAAATGAAAGTCATCTTCCTTGGACAAATGAGCAGTTAGGAAAAAAAAATGTAGTTTAGGAGGACACATTCAACAGGTGGAAGAAAGAAAGAAAGAAAGAACTGATGAAGCAGCATTGAGGGTTTGGCATGGGATATTATTATTATTATTATTTTCCCTTCTGGTTTCCTCTCTCCTTTTTCATTCAAGATTAAGTTTTTGAGGATGAAGGTGTTTCTGTCAGAAAAACGTGTGTATTTTATTTAGGACAAATGTGTGAACATTTGCAATATCTTAAACTAGCTTTCTGATGAAAGAGAAAATGCTGCAAAAACACCTCTGAAAATAAATAAGACAAGCTCCCTCTGTTCTCAGGGAACATTTGATGCCTGATCCATTTTGTGAAGTCTCACACGCCTGTCAAGCCAAAGTAGAGTGTCTGTAGCTAGTCTCTCACCATCCGTACTCAGCTACCTAAAAGCAGCAGATTGACTTTCAAATGTGCTGAATAACCAGCTTCACCGCTTGATACCTTTGCAAATAAGATGCTTGCTCTACATGTCCATGTTTGGAAATTTTGGCTGAATTGCAGAAACATGATACGAGATGAGGATTGCTGGTAAATGAAAACAGATCTGCAGTCTTTCTGCACTAGCTTTGGATTAAGAGACATCACATGAATAGTAACTATTACTAATCAAAGACCACATCATCACTACAAGACAGTATAGGTCTTCATATGAGATCTGATGCATCTAGGTATCAGATTTTTTCATCACTGAGTATGTATTAGTAATTTCAGGCCTAGAGTATGCCTGATACATAAGTTGGAGATAATCAGAATTAAAATAATTTGATTTCCAAGGTGTTAATTGATTGGATAACAGGTCGAGCCAAGCAGAGATCAAATTAACTGCAAAACTTAGACACATTTTAAACAGCTGACTAAATATACTCACTTAAGAGATGTTAATTTAAGAGATTTCTAAAGAAACCGGGGCAAGCACTCAACTTTCTTTTCTGTGCAAACAGAAAGGCTGAAAAACACCCCCCGTTGTGATAGCATGAATGTAACCTCAGGGAACATATATTAACATGGCATACATGATATCCTCCACTGATATCTGGTGTGCTCTTGCAATCCATGGAGGCCTCCTGTGTGTGGTAGGTCTGCCTCTCCATGTATACTTCATATTTTTCAAAGGAGCCACAAAATCACGGCCTTAACAATTACATGGTGTTTTCATCCATGGGCAGGACACTCCCCCTGAGTTACAGTTCCCCATATTTGTGCAAACTCTTGCTGCTTCAGGTGCATCCTCAGCTCTTCACACCCCAGGACTGGCAAAATTCCCTGGATTTGCTCTACACCGATAAAATAAGCTGCAAGCTGCACCCCAGTAGCTGGCAACTCTGTGATATCTGAGGCTGCAGTTTGATAATACGGGGGCTTTGGCAGCAATAACTTCTCAATAAGCTCCTGCGTGCCGCCCCTCACTCCTTCCTACTCCACCACACGTGCCTGTTTCTTGCAAGCAGGGGCAGTTTCCAACTCAGATGATTTTCCTGATCCATTTCCCAGCTGTGTGCACCCAAGAGAAGGGTAGGACTTCCTCAAGCTAGTATTGATAACAAGGTCCCAATAAGCATTGAAACACAGCCAGAGGGAAGCTATTCCAAATTACAGTGTGCCAGAGTCTTAATATGTTCCTGACTGAGATAAATCCTTGGCTCAGCATTGCCAGAGTAAAAACAGCTGCAAAGTGAATGAAAATGCAATTCCAACATACCTTTCTTCTCACAGCAAAAATGGCTCCACGTACTTATTTTTTCATCCTACCCTTTTCTGTTTCACCTTCCCATCACAATAAGGGAGATGATGCAGTTAAAATAACCCTGCAGAAAAAAAAATAAAAACAACCAACCAAAAAACCCACACAAAAAGCAAAATAATCTGTGGTGGCAGGGGACAGACCTCTTCACCTCTCCCTCCCCCAAAAGAAAGGGTACGTGGAAGGGCACTTCTGCCCTCTCTTTTGCTTCCTGCTTAGTCCCCCAAAGGCACAGTCTGAGTTACAGAGTAATGCCGTTGTCCACTAGGTTCCTATAGGCACATCTGGAAACACCTTCTCCGATAACACCTGTAGCCACCAAGCAATTAGGGCTGGCGCTGGCAGCATCTGCCAAGGCAGAGAGCCCTGCCTGGGCTGCTGCAACCAGGGGTCACCCCAAAGCGAAAGGCTCTGGGGCAGCTGCTTTCTTTTTTCTTTCTTTCCCACTCGAAGGAAGAAAGCTTGCTGCGTTTGTGCCCATTTAAGTTGTGTTTATTCAAAGGGGCAAGAAGTGATTAACAAATAGCTCCACGTGAGTGGCAAGCCTGGTTTCCTTCTGGACTTACATCTTGTGACAGACTGTGGGCTGCAAATGAAGCTTGTCCCACAGCATGTCGTGCTTCGTATGGGCTCTCTTCCATGTTCCTTTATAGCTTCAGGCCGCTATCACTTTTCCTAAAACCAGCTACATAAATATTTACTCTTTTTCACCCTTAAAGCCATATTCAGTTCCAACTTATTCCAAAGTCTATGGATGGCAGCTTTCAGATTCAAGCAAGTAATTTTTTAAAGCTACGTCCTGTGCTTGACCAAAAAGATGCAGTATCATTTCTGAGAGCTGGAAAATCCAGGCTGTCGAATAATATAACCTTGTTTTTCCTTTTCAGAACAACCAAAAGATGCCAGACCCTAAATTTGTTTTATTATTTATAGACAAACTGTTTCAGACAGTATTGGAGGTTTTAAAAATGTATTATCTCTCATGTGCCTCTCCCTCCCCTTGCACAGTTGGATTGGTGGTAACTAAGGCAACCCAGCTGCACAGCCTGAGAGGCACAGAAAATAGTACCAGTAATGACTTTTTTTTTTGTTTTAAATCCCAGAGTTTCTAGAGTACTAGACAATGTTGAGCAATACAGAAACTCCAAAGAGGATAATTGGAAACAATGGGCTGATTCTTTTACTGCCATAAGTTTACCTCAGCCAAGAATTTGGCTGCACCGTCCGAGTACCAAAGATGAACAGTGCAATAGCTTCTCCCATTCCCGATGGGTAGAAAACATCACACAGGCAACTGATCTCATGTTACTTTGGCCAGTCAAACTAGAACCCTCAAAAATAAAGCAAAGCAGTTTTCCCTCGGGTTTTGCTCCTGGTGAGACAACTAGATCCTTAGGAGAAATTTGGATCAAAGTTCCCCACACCAGACAGAGCGACATTTCAGGTGAGGCCTCTTCTCTGGCACCAGCATTTAAAGATGGAGCAGATTGATTTGTCTTCCATCTAACACACCTGGGAGAAAAAAAAAAAAACCAAACAACCCCCCAAAAAACCCCAAACCCAAAAAGGCATTCATCAGCTGCTTCATTTCAATACTTTGAAATGCAGGTGGATAGGAACTATAGCTAGCAACAGCTACCCGCTCCACCAGTGATTTAAACGCCCACTGAAGGACACTGGGCAAACCACTTACGAGATTTTACAGCCACAAGGCCTCTGCCAAGTCCAGAGAAATGCTCATCCCCAGGTGGTGGAACTGTTCTTTGGGAGGAAAACAGGGCAGAAAGGGAGGCTGGCTAGAAATGCAGGTGGATAGGAACTATAGCTAGCAACAGCTACCCGCTCCACCAGTGATTTAAACGCCCACTGAAGGACACTGGGCAAACCACTTACGAGATTTTACAGCCACAAGGCCTCTGCCAAGTCCAGAGAAATGCTCATCCCCAGGTGGTGGAACTGTTCTTTGGGAGGAAAACAGGGCAGAAAGGGACGCTGGCTGCCAGAGCAGGCAGTAGCTCTGACAGATCCATGCCTGGATGCTCGCTGTCCTCCAGAAGGGAAAGCTTTGGCCAGCAGCTGGCTGAGGAACACCAGCAGGGCAAAGCCAGAATTAAAGGTATTGTAAAGCAAGGGATAAGGCAGTACAACAAGAATAAGAGCCATTGCTCTCAGGAAAAAGAGGAAACTCATGGCAGGGTAACTTCCTCATGCCCAGTGTCTACAAGCTCTTGAGTATCTTGCAAAGACATTGCTGAAACAGATTCACCTAAGGCTGAGCTAAAGTTAGATAGCAATCTTCTCTTTAACATATTTTTCCTTTTCTTTTTGGAGTACTTTTGCATTAAATGCATTTTCCAGAAACATAGCATGTTTTAGGAACTGATTGTTTTCACTGGGTTTTATTTTTGTATTTACATGCTTGTGAAACCAAGCTCCCTTAATACCCTGTAGTCAGCTATTGGGAAACCCAGCCTATGTGACAGTGCATCAATCTGTGCAATACAAAGCAATATTATAATATGATTGAATTCTCGATGCTCTCACTCTTCTGAGCAGCTGTTGAGATTGCAGAAACCCGAGTGGCAAATAAAGGGATGCAAAGGGCAACTGTGTGGGGCACAAAGTCATTCTACCGTTGTACTGGTACATGCTGACGAACAGCAGTTTTTGTATGAATGTTAAAATGCTCATGTTCTGCAGGAAGTTATCAATCCAGACACAGGTTCCACTCTCCATTATTACAGTGTCTATGAGGGATTTTTAAACCAAGCCTCCTTTCCAGAAGACATCTTCATTTGTTCTATCATGCCTTTAAAAACAAAGAATAGGAGTCCAGGGTATATCTATTTCTTTCAGTGAACAAATAATGTTTATATCTACTATTTCACTGTATTGCCAGTGACAAATGGAACTCAAATGTAAGAGGATTTACAGCCCAGAGTTTGCAAACCAAATACGAATATTTACTTTTGTCTCATCCATTCATCCTAGTTGTGCCACAAGCCTGTAATGGCCTATTTACATCCTTCATATTTGTCACTCCCCCAAGCTGCAGTTTACCCCTCAGGTAGAGTTCTCTAGCTATTTAAAGGAAACCTGCAGCATCTGTCACATGCCCTACTCTTGCTGACAGGTTTATCTGATGATCTACTTGAGGGAGACTGGATCCGAAGTTCTGGCAACCCAGGGCTTACGATTTCATTGCTGCAGGCCAGGCATTAACAGGTGCTTGCTAATATACTGTCCCTGGACTAATAGGCTAGTCTGGTTTGGGGTTTTTTTTGGTGGAGTTTTTTTCTCCCTCATCTTTAAAATTTCTGTTTGGTCGGGAAAAACTACTTACAGGAACATTTGAGAAGGAAGAAATGCGAGGATTTTGTTCCATATCAGGTCAATTGCCAAATGCTGTGCAGGCTAGAGATAAATAAAACACAGCAATTAGTGTTTCAGAGCCTCTGACGTCTGTGGACAAGGAAAGCACCTTTAAAAGAGGATTCCCTGTGAGTAAATGATCATCAACAGGGAAGAAGAGAGGCTGAGACAGTGCTTTAGGTAAGGGTACCCAAATACATTTGGTTATTGCCACACGTGGTGCCCCACGGCAGCACATCTGGTCTCTAGCTGGTGCTTCAGAAGCTGTGGGTCTTTGGTGGGTCCTCTTCCATCCTGGCCAGTCACGTGAGGATGCTCCAGATATCTTAGCTGCAGGATTAATCATCCGCTGCCTTTTCAGATGAGCTTTATTTTTGAAAGCTTTTCACATATGCTTGCACCAAGCTAGGCTTGTTTGGTGGCAGATACTTTTTCCCCACTAGCAAAGCATCATTGTTGTCAAGCGACGTGGCCCATGGTAGATTTTAAATCATTCCTCAGTAGTTGAGTAATCCCTTACTTGCTAAGGACATCCCAGGCTCATCTGACTTCTGCAGCGCTTCGGCATTAGCAGCTGGTCCAAGCCATGCGCTCATAGCTTACTCCCACTCCCACTCCCAGACAGGTTTGGTTCCCCAGGGATGTTGGGAGGCTGGGGCCAGGTTCACATCCTCCTCCCACCAGTGTGCTTGATCAGTGAGAGGACTTCTCTGTTGTGCCTTTTTTTTCCAATAATCTGTTCTCCTCTGCCTCCAACCAGGAGATTCAATAGTAATACTGGACTACAGGCGGAAAGGCAAGTGAATCCTCCTCTTCAAGCCAAGCAATCTCTCCATGAATGCTGAAGCCATGAAGTAGAGGAAATAAATGCAGCTGTGATAAATCCTTTCTCCAATGCATTGCAGCTTCTGGTGAAGCCATTATGTCATCAGACATATGGAAACCTAGTGGAAAATATGAAATGTTTGCCTCTTACATGATAACTCTGCAACTGCTATGAATAAGAAAATTGTGTTCATCTGTTTACACAGATTTCTCATCTCTTGCACAATGTACGTGAGGATGTGTCCATGGTTAAAACTCGTCACTGGTAAACGAACTCCCTCATGAGCTTGGCACCACTCTGTAAAAGACCTGTGAATGCAAGCCAGCTCTTGTTTGGATTACCCTTCATCAAGTCTGGAAAAAATTAAGAGGAGGGGTAATTTTAACAGTGCTGTGACTTCCAAGCTAGCTAGATAACAAATTGGGCTAACAAGGACTGTAATTAGGAATGTCTGCTCAGAAAGTTCACCATGAAGCCAAGTTCTTCTAACGAGAAGCATTCTGGAATATTAATATGCACCATATCTCCCCTCCATTTTAACAGGAAATCTGAACACAACACTTTCTTCCTTTTTCTTGGTTTCAGTTAATCTTGCAGCAAAAGTAACCTAATTATACTGACTGTATGATTGCTTTGACAGAAAGCATGTTAATTTAAAGCACTGTTTAACATAAAGCTGCCTGCCATATAATTACACTCCATTCACATGTTTACTAATCTTGCTCAATATAGTTGATTTCTGTTATTAGCCTCAACATCTTGTTAACATCTAAAACACTGGAGATCTGCTTTGCAAACGCCAATAAACAGGCAAAACCAACAGTAGCGTAAATGTTCCTAATGGTCAACATGAAAAAGAAAGATCTCTGTTATTAGCCTTGCATTTAAATGAGGATTTGAAACTAGTTGCAGTACTTAAATGTCTAAGTCCATCTTCATTGCCAAAACCCCTAGCTTAAAGCTACTGTGCACGCAGTTCACCGGGGTGTTATTTTCATCTTTCAAATGCTGCTGGAGCTTAGTAAAAACGAAACACATTGTAAGCTGCCTGTAAGCAATAAAAAAAAAAATTATGTGTATACATGATTGTTCTTCTCACGTGTTAAGCACCTGATAAAATTCTAGTCTGGTAAGTTAACATACTAAGGCTAGACTGTAAACTAAGTTAATTCAATGAAAGATGTGCACGCATTCAATAATTCCCAGCTTATCTAGATAACTTGCTTAAGCTAACTTCACAAGGGAAATGTAAGCAATTACACACACACACACACACACACCCCTTTTCTGTTGAAGCTAAAGGAGAACATGGAAAGAAATCAGCTGAAAGATGCTGGTCAAAGCAAATATTTGAGAGAGGCAGACAGAAGAAAAGCCATGAAGGGAATTAGGGAAGAGGAGAAAGTTCAGGAGACTCCCTGTACAGGTATGTTGGGGTGGGGGTTTGGAGGTTTTATTGTTGTTTTTTGTTGGG